GACGGCGGTGGGGATGAGCAGCAGTAACAGAATGAGTGCCCTCAAGGCGTCAGATGCCACCACAGCAACAGTAATAAATCAATGTTGAAAATGCTTCTAGGGTTTTAAAAGCAGGAGAAGACAGGGACCCTGCATCAAAAGTGCGGTGGCTTCCCACTGGTCCGGCCCATGTGAAGAGAAGCCGTGTGTGGGGTGCAGACCTAAGGAAACCACTCACAGCAGAGCGCGCAGCAGGAGATGCAACAGAAGAAAGGCAAGGAGAAAAGTAGGAAAGAATGCCAAGCTCCCACCAATGAAGCCCAAAGGGGAAAATCGAGATGGGCCAAACACCGTTCCAGAATTAGTGTAAAACTTCAACTATTTCGTAATGACAAAAAATGACCACAACTTCAGGAACTGAATGTCAGGAATGTAAATAATATAAACAACTCACATGATTAAATCTTCTTGTGAAAGCAACTGCATTTGGGGCAGAACTGTATTTTTCTTTTTTATTCCATCCACAACTGGAAAGCTCCTGAAATATGAAGGTGAAAATTAAATATCAACTACAAAATCGCCCGGTCTTCTTGCTCTACTCAGAGAGCTTCCAAGCTTGACAGATGGTGCTTGTCCCTTTTAGAGTCACTTTATTCTTTGGAAACCAACAATGCCAAGCTCACTGCCATGCAGGCAATGCCTGCTCACAGCAACCTAAAGGCAGGTGGGCCTGCTCCTGGGCATTTCCGAGACTGTCACTCTTTATGGGAGCAGAAGGCCTTCTCTCTCCTGTGGAGAAGCTGGCGGTTTTGAACTGCTGACCTTGCAGTTAGCATCACAATAGGAACACAACTATTAAATACAGTCGTTCAGTTAAATCACAAACACAAATTTTAGTACAATATAAGACAGCAAATTTCTATAGTAGAGTCAATAAACCAATCTACAACTGAAAAATAGAGGTAAGGACAGATGAAGGGGCTTCAAAGGGTTCATGGGAAAACTCTATTTAATCTATCCCACTTTTCCATGAACTTTGCAAAGGGCCCTCTACTATTACTTGAGGATGATTAATGAAAAGGCTACCCTACTCAATAGGCAAGAACTCCCACCCACCACTAATCGTGAGAGAACCAGGCTTAATTTCCACAGGCAGGAGCCTAAAGGAGTCTACTCTGGAGAGCTCTGAATCCCGAGGAGGATTCCTGCAGATAATGGAAGCTGACCACCCCACAGCACACAGTAAAGCCCTGAGTTATCAAGCCCCCTTCAATCACGGAAAGCACGCAGTCAGCTTTGCAGCTTTGAACTGATGGCCAATGAACCCGACTTGAAGGGCCTGTCGATATAATTCAAAGAGCTTAAGAATATGGAGGTACACACCCACACACAATTCACCGCTATCGAGTTGATGCTGGTTCATAGTGACCCTATAGGGCAGAGAAGAACTGCTTTGTGGGTTTCTGACTCTGTCACTTTAAAAAAAAAA